ACAGTGTAAAGCAGAAACATACAATGATAATCATGACTAGTAGGATTTGAAGGGCTGGACTGGGATAGAGGCAGCCAGAACAGGATGAGAGTACACCTAATCTTCACTTCTAGAACCATTTTGATTTTAAACCAGTGAATGTACTCAAAATAGTCTTTGAAATAGAAACATCACAAGGTAAAAATGATCTGTTTACTAGTTGCTCTGTCCCTTCTTAAGTTTGGGGGAACTCAGTTTGTCTCCCTTTTACAGAAAACAATGCTTCCTGTGTAGAGTACAGCTTCTCTTTCAACTGTATCCATGTTTCCAATAAACATACATAGACAGTTTATATTTATCTATGTGTGAGAGAGATAGAGGTAGAGAGAGACAAAGAGAGAGGGAAGGAGGTCGGGGATGATGCTTCCCCTTTTCTGAGCAGAGTAGCTGTAGGTTTAGGCATTCATAATTTGTACTTATTTGAAGACTAAACCCTTGAACAGATGGCTAGAACACTTTGAGACCTGTCCCTTAGTCCTGAGTTTATGTCAGTGACTTTGGGATATGTGAGTCCATGTTCCATCTCAGCCTTTTTTTTCTGAGTGCTGAGTGAAGCGAAGGATAGTCTATTCATGAAAATGGCACAAAACAGTGATTCTTTTGAAAAGCAAAATTGTGTTTGCCAGTGGCAATGCTAGCACCATTGTGTTTGGCTCTAAAAGTTCTGATTTTCACTTGATACTTTGGTTAGGTCTCCAGTGCAGGGCACATCTGGACTGTTGACTACCAAAACTAGAAGTTGAACAATCTGAACATTACTAGACCAGGTGCTTTCTCAATAGGAGACTCAGAAGCTTCTTGTTTTTTAGGGACTTTTATTTTCATATGAAGAAAAGAAAAGCAGAGATGACCTGCAATCTGTGTTGGTCCTAGCATCAGTGTCAGAGGAACTCTGTTCAGGACATTCTTTGCCCCAGCAATTTCATCTCAAATCAGAGATGCCTGGCACATCTACTCGATGGTATGAGATAGTCCCCTTGTAAGTGAGTAAGCTATGTAAGTGAGCTCTGGATATGCTGGATAGAAAGGTAAAAATAGCAGTAATGACTTGATTCAAGTCAGTAGTCATTGATAACAGGCTCACAGATAAAGAGACTGGTGATATCAAGTCTTGAAGGACAAGGTGAAGCTGTACAAGAACCTGAAATTCCATTCTTGGCTCTCACCATTTTGTAAACATGTTCTCTCTACTGGGTCGAGTATGACTCATAGCTCAGAATTAGCAATGATTCATTTAATTCCTTCTGAGTTTTTCTCTACACCTCAATTACATTTTATAACATGTAGACATTTAATTTTAGCCTGTATCTTTGGTATCTTTAGAGAAACCATAACCAATTTTTTGAGGCTTTTGAATGATATGACTAATGATTTTTTTATATAGTTACCTAGCTTATGGGAACTACAGCTCTTAGTGCACAAAGTAAAATACCTACAGGAATATATGAATGTCTTATTTATTATTAATGAGGGGTAAAGAAACAAGAGAACACTGACGTAACATTGAAAGGATTTCAGCAAGAAGAGTTCTTAGAAAGTTGTTCTGAGTTCCCATGTCTTAATATGTCTTCAAATAACAAAAAGAAATTTGAGTTCACAAGTTACACAAGGGTACCACAGGGGATCACACAGCTCAAGACAGATATGGGCAGACTACAAAAGATCTGAGTTCACAGTACAGATAAGGTACCTTAGTGTGTGTGTGTGTGTGTGTGTGTGTGAACAGAGTTTCTCTGTGTAGCCCTGGCTGTCTTGGAACTTGCTCTGTGGACCAGGCTGGCCTCAAACTTGCACTTGATGCTCTCCCAGAGGACCAGGGTTTTGGTACCCAGCATCTGCAATGGGCAGCATACAACATCCTACAACTTAGCTTTAGGGACTCTATAGTCCTATTCTGGTCTCTGCACTATCTGTACTCACCATTACACTACTTTACACAGATAATGTGCACAGATAATGTAAATATAGTTTTAAAATAATATACATTTTAAAGACTACCCTAAGATCTAATCAGGGATATTGGAGAGTTAGAGAAGGTTCAAGGCCTAGCTCTTAAAGTGCCAGTTACTTCTGTCATATCCACAGGTGTCTCTTCCTCTGAAGCAATGCTTATGAAGGCTAATCTCTCTTTTAATTCCATTCACCATTTGTGAAATAGAAATTAGATATGATTACTTACTGAATACATTTCTCAACTGATCTGTTTAGAAATGCCCTTTTTGTCTCTTGGAGCATTTTCATTTTCTGAAGATATCAGCTGGGCTACATGAATTTTTAATTTCTTCTAGAAATATTTATTATTATTCTTGCCTTTTTATTCAGCAAGATTACTCAAGGAAACAGGCATAGTTCCTAAACATGTGGTAGCAGTTCTGAAATATTTCCCTTAAGAGTTTAGCCAAAATATATCGTAATGAGTCCACAGAAGTTCCTTTTCATGAGGAAAACACACAAAATTGCTTTTGTTACAATTGAGTTGTGATCAACAGAATATATGCAACTGTAGAGAAATAATAAAATATCATCCTGCATGTGGAGTGGGGGGGGGTGGGAGGCTGGCTGGGGAGCATGGGAGGGTGGAAGAGAGAGAGGGAGGAATGGAGAGGGAACTGGGATCGATGAATAAAATAAGAAAAATAAAGAAATAAAAAAGGAAACATGAGCTAAAAGAAGTGTTCTTATTTTCTGTATACTTTCAAATATCAAAATGGAGTGAGAGATGATAGTATACAAGGTAGTATACACCCACTATACAAAGCAAAAATTTAAGCAGTCGCTTATAAATTCTGGCTAACATAGCATAAATCATTAAGGAAATTATAAGATGAAGAATTAGATAATCTTTTTTTCTTTTAGAGATACAAACCATTAAATTCAAATGGGCCAGGAATACTTTTATTGATGTAAAGATACAAACAGATGATAGTTGAGATGATATTTTCAAATTACAAACATCATTAAAATTTTAGGCAAACTTTAACAATTATTGTTAATTTTAATTGCATCATTATTGGTTTTTCTATATCTACATTTACAATAACATCTGTTATTTTTATCAATTAATTTCATAAAGAAAATAGATGATGATATTTAAAAGCTTATGGAGATAAAATTAGTGTCATCTCCAAAAACATAATTTCAGAACGTATTTTCAAACAATCCATATTAAGACACTTCATCGGTCTCCACAGTAAATCCGTGAAGCACTGAGCTGTTTGTTTTAATGATTCTCCTTCACACGTGGAGATACAGACCCAGCCCATTTAACAAATTTTCCAGTGTCATTTCTGTGCCAGATTAGCACTAAGTAAAGACTATTACTGTATTTTGTGTCACAGTCTGGTACCCGTCACAGAGTAGAAAGACTAAGAGTTTAGTACATAGTCACTGAATGATAATAGCATAGTGGATAAACCATTTAATTGACTCTGTTCCTTGACTCAGGAAATTACATGGGGAAACCACATCTAAGGAGAGCCCTTTATCCACTGTCTTCCTTATAAGCTTGAGTTGCTGAGTGAAGGGGCTTTGTAAGATGGTACCATCTGCTTAGATCTGAAATTATGTATTATCAGATCTCCCTTCCTCTCCAAATGGTTCCATTAATCTAGTTCATTGTAGTATTGGCTTTTATGGTGTGAAGTCCATCAGCATCTGGTTAAAACTAACTTTCTTACAAAAATTACTGACATTACAACATTAATGCTGAGTAATGATCCACACCTTACCGAAAGAGTGATAAAACTGATCGAAATCTTGGATTTCAAGAAGTGTAGTCAGTTGCATTGTTTGAAAACCAATCATATGGCTAGTTCACTCGCTGACTAGCTCAGCCAATGCTGAGCTGATGATAGTGCCAGAAATGATAACCCAGGTCATTTTCTGAGTTAATCTGTCATAAGTTAAGCTGCAACTAGAAACATGATGAAAAATTACAGACACATTTTCTAGAGTTGGTAAGAAAAGTTCATTAAGATTGAGTGTTTGTATCACCATAAAGATGAACACTCTCAGAAATTATAGAAATAAATGAATAAGTAAGTTAAAAACTGCCACTCATTTAACTGGCATTAAGGTGCAATCAGTCAAAAGAAAGTAAGACATCTCATGAACATATCTAGGACCAAAATGTCTCACTTAAACCTTATACAGGATTTGTATTGTTTCCATCTGAAAAAGAAAACATTTAATTTCACAGAAAGAATGTATTTAGAAATAAAACTATGTTTGCCTTGGTCACCCAAGATTATTGATTGATCTAAACCTTCACCAAGCTGTTTTCACTGGAGCATACTCTGGAGTCATGAAAATTTCACTTCTCCTTCACTTGCATGTTAAACAAAAGATTTACCAGACATGCTTAGCTGCAAGTATATTTTCACAGGAGAGAATGTCTTAATTATAACTAAGACAAACCTCATAAAGAAGATTCTTCGTGCATTTGTACTTTGTCATGTCCTGTCTGTCTGATACTTTGAGTTTTAAGAATTTGACAAGAGACTTACAACACTATGGTATAAGTCACACCTATTGTAGAACCTTGCCACAAGTGAGCTAGAAACAAACACGAATGAATGACACATATAGTTTTTGGGTAAACTGAGTTCACTCACATGTTCCCATACTAGTTAAGCCTAGAACATAGTCTGTTAACAATTTGAAAATTATCTACCTGAGGTCATAAATTTCATTTTGTAATTGGCCAATTACATTACATTTAAAGACCAGTACAAAATAAACTTCAATGAGTATACAACCTTGCAACTAAATGTAAATGCCTCTCCCACAGCAACATACACACATAAAGATTCTTGAGCATTAGACCCTCCAACACATTTGCTAATCAGTCAACCCCTTTGTCCACGGTATCTCTTTATGCCAGAAGGATGTTTTCAAATAAATTTTGACTATAGAGAGTTTCAATTGGGTGTGCCACCATGGAATAAAGAGGAGAATTACCACATTAATGCAGTTGTCAGGGTCATGCATGAGTGTCTATTGTCCTTGCTGCTTCTGTCCTGGAGAGTTTGGTTTGCCAGAGTTCTCTCCAGGGCGATGGGCAGGAGTGACAGGAAACTGAAATCCATAGCCATTGTATCCATCCAAGTAGACACATTGGAAGAAACTAATAGGATCTAAGGAAGATAGCATGATTTTTTGTTACAAGCATGACTTGGACAGCAACAGAGCAAGTACACTGAGGTTGTGTAGCACAGTAGACTAGTCCCTAACTATTGTCAGAGAGCTGCCACAGCTACTGGACATAACTGTACTTCATTATGCCTTGGGTTCTTCATGCATAAAATCAAGACAACAGAAATCATGGTAGGGATATAGAGAAAAGTAAATGAACCGACACAGGGTGTGTGTGTATGTACCCTCGTGCATGTGTGAGAGTCCTGAAGTAATGAATTGTTCCATTTTTCTTAACTCTGAAGGTCTTTGCTATACAGAGATAGCTGGCTTTCTTCTTCAGGCAATGCTCTAATGCACATCATTCAAGCGTAGGGGAGCACAGGAAGGTGAAATGAGTGTAGCACAGGGCCAGTGAGATAACTCTGTGGGTAAAGGTGCTTGCTGTTAATCTTGACTAACTAAGTTCAAGCCTCAGGACCCATTTGATAGAAGTGAGGAATCAACTCCTGATATAGTGTCTTTGCACACCCATACATTAGATGCTTATCCGCACCTCCATCCAAGTTAATAAACTGTTTTTTAAGGAGTGACGTGCAAAATAGTATGTGAATGGTGTGCAGAACCTGAGCTCTAGATGCTAAGTCAGGTCTCCCTAGAGGCAGCTGTGTTGAGATGGAACGTCTTTCCTGTAATCACAGATAAACTTACTACCTCTCCACTATATTCTAACCTTTCCATGTATATTATTGCAAACAGTCAGAGACATTTTCAGATGGCCATGGAAGAAAGGGCCAACCGAAAGATGTGGTATGTAGGAAATAGGAGAGATGGCTAATTTTGTATAAATGAGATGAAGCATTGGGGTAAAAAGAAGCTGAAAGAAGTAATGATACCTCTTAGTTGGCCTTGCCATATTTCTTTTGCCTCAGCCTCCCAAGTTCTGAGAATATAGGCATGAATCATATTAAGGGTGTCCTCAGATTCCAGTGATTAGAGGTTTTCTGCCTCAGTAACCAGGTTTTCAGAAATTAACCTGCTTTCTGTTTTGTTCTACTTTGGTAGCACAAATCCACTTTTTCTAAAGCTATGGAGATTGCAGCAGCGAGCTTGCATTAGATGGAAGCAACAAAAAAGCTGTTGGAGTTAGGGAGAAATAACAGCACTGGCACTAAAATTCAAGAGCCTCTTCATGATAGCTCTATCCCATTTGAACCTTAGCAGATGAGGGTGCTGTCCTGGCATAAGCATCTAATTCTAGTTAAAAGAGCTATTGATTAAAATATCACTAGCTCTAAAAATTTTAGAGCCTACATTAAAGACTCATGAAGATTGGGATATACAACTACGATGTTAAGATAAAAATGAGCAAACTGTTTTAATATAATAAATTTCAGGACTGGAAATTTGTATTGAAAAATATTGAATGCATTTATTTTAATTTTATTTTATTTTGCTTTGTCTTTCAGGGGAAATTTTTTCCCTGTAACAATGGCTATCCTGGGTTACTTAGTATGTGTCCCAAGATGGTCTTAAACTCAAGGCAATCATCCTGCCTCAGTATCTAGAGTGCTAGTAGTAGAAATCATTCCAGAGACTTTTAATTACATTTCTTCTTTTGTTGAGATAACTTTGGATTCACATGAAATTGTAAGAAGTTATATGCATATTCACCCAATTTCTAACACAGACAGGATGAAAAGGAAATAATTGAGGACACAATCTATCTATTGAATTTTCTTTTAATGCTAATTTGTGGAATAAGAGATTCAATTATTGATGCAATTTAGTTGAAAATTACTAACAATAGTTTGTCAGTTGTGAGGCTGTGGTAGCTTGGATAATAATTGCATTTTCATGAATTTTACAATGGTATATGAAATGATCATATCAAGACTGCTTACACTCCTGTATGTCTCACAGTGTGATTGTACGAAGCATCCTAGTGGTCCTTTTTATATGTTGCAGTCAAGTCAGTAACAACAGCAACACTAGCAGCACAGAGGGTGTCCAAACCTCTCAATTAGTAAGCCACCTCAGCAAATTCCTGCATGAAGGAAGCCATGCAAATCTATAGAAATTCTTTTCCCAGATAAAGTATTATGTGTGATGCTTTATCTATTGCTTGTTCTAGTTTGTCTGGTGAAGGCTTTATTTAATACATATGTGGATCCATGATTTATTGCTTTCCCATCTGAACAAAATGTCTGATTTGGAAGCACTGGGATAATGAGAATCTTAAGCACTGAGTTTTGGAACTGAAAGTGAATTCTTGATCGGAGATGTCATTCTGTAAATATGTTTCTCATACTCGGTAATGAATAAAGCACTGCTGGCCAATAGGAAAGCAAGATAGGTGGGACTAGGAGATGAAGAGGAGAGAGGAAGTAGGAAGGAGGAGTCAAGATAGAGAGACTGGGGAGACGAGAAGCTGCCTCTCCCCGGTAAGATAAGACCACGTGAAAATACATAGAAATGGGTTAATACTTAAGACAGAGCTAGCCGATAAGAAACTAGTAACTGGCCAACAACATTATGTCAAATACAGAGTCTCGGTGTGTTAATTGGGGCTGGCGCGGCAGCGGGACAAGACCAGCGGTGGGAAGAAAAACCTACTCCTTACAAATACTGATTGCACTCTAGAATCAAAGATGCCAGAGACTGATGGTTAAAAGCTTACCAGGTATTCAGGAAATGTCACAAGGAACTTTGAATCTTGGGAGTGAATTGCCTAGAAACTGAATTTCTAAAACCTATTCCTACATTTTAAAAAAGTTGATTTAAAAAATTTCAGCACATCACTTCTACTGATCTGTCAGACAGCAGACAGGATTTCACATATAAGCAAGATTCAGCCAGAAAAAGCCATGATCAAAATTGTACAGAATGGCTTGCGATAAATGCCATTTCAGTCATTACTTGGAGTTGCTTCAACCCAGCACCTTTCCTGACACAAAAATGACAAGTTTATCTTTGAAATATAAATAGTTTACTTTAAGGTTATTCTTTGGCCCAGTGATAAAAATCATTTTTCTTCAGTTACTGTTCTTGGGAGGCTAGAAGTTTAAATGTCTAAGTAGTGTCTGTATTATTGGAGGAGGTAGCTGTTTTTTTTTATTATTTAATTTAAACTTACTTTTTTGCTTCTTTGTGGAAGAAACATCATCAGTTACTTCTAGTGGAGAAAAAATTAAATGTAAGATTAATACATGCAGAGATATATAGCATGCACTCAACTTGAGTCTTTTATTCATGAGACCAGTATTTTGGTGGCAGAAAATACCCTTCTTTAACACTCAAGGTTTTTATTTAGATGCAATTCAGACTTTTCTTATAAAGATGAGTACCTAGGCATAGAAACATGCTTTTGGCAATTTTACAAACAGGAAGGCTGCCCTATTGGCTGGGATGCTGATGGATGGGGATGAACTGGCAGATACTCATTTCTTTAGAGTCAGTCTTTGATGGTATTAGGTATTAGGTAATAAAGGTAGCATCTACAGAAATAATTCTGACTCTTTAGAGATCATTCATTTTTGTGTAGTGGAGAATGCATTTTTCTTTTAGTATTTCAAAATGTCACACATAGACTGTTTTAAACAATTGTTACTTCAGTGCACTATGAGAAAGCAGAATTCTTCCCTTTGGGGTTTTGGTTTTCTTTAGCTCATTCAATACTTCTCTTCTACTGTCTCCTGTTTATCACAACTGCTCCATTCTCTTCCTGTATGCAACTGATTTTCTAAGCTTAGTGATGGAGTGTAGCATTTTTCATATTTCACTTGACACAATGACTATTAGACCCATCCATTTTGCTGGAGACAACAGGTTGTGGGTATTTTTGTTTGTTTTGTTTTGGTTTTGGATAAATAATAACCCATTGTGTTTATATGCCACAATTCCCTTACCTTTCATTCACAAACAGGTACCTTTATTCATTCTGTGCTATAGCTATGTAAATAGTTTTGTTACTAATATGAAGTGCAGGTATCCTCTTGTGATAATGATTTGTTTCCTTCACGTATGTATTCAGTAGTAGAATTGACAGAAGGTGTAGTAGGTCTAATTTTAGTTTTAAAAGTATCATAAATTGCTGAATCAATTGTCATTCTCACCAGTTTTATACATTACCAGTAATACACCTTAATACAAGCTTAAACCTAAAATTTATTTTTGTAAGATTTGGGTACCCATTTACCTTACTGTGCCTCTTCTCAAAGCAGTGTTTCCCACATTTTAGTGAAGTCCGGGACCAGTTACAGACATACATGTCATAGCAAGAAGAATTCTTGGACAAGTTTGCTATCCATAGAATATATTATAAATAGATCAGAAAATGACTGTGTTGGAAAAGCTTGAATTCAGAAGCTAGGAGCCTCAGAAAACAATGACAAACACTCAGCCAACTCGTTCCAACTCTCACTCTCCAGGTAGAGATATTTGGGAATATTTGATCTGGAGGTTGCAAGTTTTTCTGAGTGCATATGCTTCCTCTGTGTGTGTGTGTGTGTGTGTGTGTGTGTGTGTGTGTGTGTGTGTGTGTGTCTTTTCTAGGTCCTATCTCCCCTTCCTTCCTTGTTATTTTTCCCTTTATCAGAAAGCTTTTGCTATAGGTGACTTTTTTCTTAATTAAGAGAAATTCTTGACAAAATAATAGTTTTATATGCAATGAAGTGATAATTGTGTTATAATTAATACACATGATACATTTAAAGACCATTTCTGTAGGTCAGACAATAAATGATTGTTAGCTGTAAATATTATCCATCTAGTTCTTTTTCAATATGCAAGGAAATGCATATTTTATAAAAAATACAGAATTATTAAAAATAAGTCTACTACAAAAATGTTGATAATTGTAGCAAAAGATTAAAAACATTAAACTAAGACAAATGAACAACAAACAACATATCATTACATCCTCGAGAGAAAATGTGTAAATGAGCCAAAGGTAACAGACTCACCTTTGTCTTTCTTTGAAGCTGGCAAGTCTTTGGAATCTTCTAGAATACAATGATGAAAAGTAAATCACAGTTTAAATTCTTTTTGTTTTTCAAGGGAAAATACTCTTCTTAAAGATTTTAACGAGTTACTGGTCAGTAATCTAAATGCAGCTTCCAGTTCAAGTGTTCTGACTTGGGAAATGGGTGTAGAGGGAGCAGCACTGAGCTGCTTCCAAAAGCAGAGGGACAAAGTACAGGACACACAGCCATCAAAGTACGGCACACCTCATATCAAGATATGGGACACATCCCATCAAAGTGTGGGATACATCCCATCAAAGTGTTTCTAAGCACTTTAAGAGAATGAAAAGACAACTTATGAAATGAGACAAAATATTTGCAAACTATATAGCTGATAGAAGACTAATATATAAAAATATGTGCGTCACATGCCCAGACAGAAAAAGACAGCCGAAGTAAGCATATTCATAAAAGCTATATGCATGATCAAAAGATATATAAAGATAAGATCAATAACCATGTCAAAATTCACAAACTCAGAAAGGCTAGGTAACAAGAAGTGCTAAGGGGGGGGGGTCACTCAGGTCTCCCTGGGAAGGGGAAATAGAAGCGATTTCTTGGGTGATCTGGGAACGGGTGGGGATTAGAACATCAGAGATCATTTGGCAGGGAGGAGGGAGTGTAAAATGAATAAATATACATATTTACAAAAATAAAATAATTAAATGAATATGTAAATAAATATGTTTCAGATGCATATTTTAAAAAGAACTGTCATGTAAATAAATAAAAAAATAACTATAAGACATCCCATGTCAAAATGACCATTAACAAATAATGTCAATAACAAGTATTTAGAGAAGGTACTTGAAGTATGTAGCTTGGGTCTGGATCCCAGAACAAACATAACATGTAGCGGTACACGTATGTAATCCTGGCCCTTAGGGTAAGAAAACCGGAGATTAGGGTAAGAAAACTCTGGAGATTGCAGATGTTCGCAAATCAATGAGCATCAGGTTCAGTAAGAGATCATGCCTGAAAAGCTAAGGTGGAGAGCTATGCAGGAAAACACCCGTCATGCACACACAGTTTTGATATATATGTGTATGCAGCTTCAAGAACCAACACATGCATATGACCACAAAAAACACTTGTATGCTCATACCACACACACACACACACACACACACACACGCACACACAGACACACACACACAATACTCTAATTCAACAGATTTTAATGTAAAGTTCTTACTATAAAAGTTAATTGAGTCAATCAATATGTAATCAGCTTAATCATTATTATATCTTGATTCATATGTATATTAAATCATCCGATCATATAACTCAAAATGTACAACTTGTCTTTACCAATTATACCTCAATGAAACTAGGAAAAAAAAGACATTTAATTTGAGCTGAAACTCAAAGATATAAACAGTAATATAAACAGTAGTTCAGTTATATTTTGAAAATTACTTTGTCATTTATATATTCTGACTTGCAGACACATAGGGAATCCTGTGGAAGGAATTTTGTATCAGAGACAACACTAACACAATGTTTTGATTTTAATCACAATCTTTTAGTACTTTTAATTGTTTTATTTACTCAGAGTTTGCATACCATATTTTAACTAATAAATGGAAAAGGGGTAAGATAAGACAGTATTTGAATTTTCTCTAATAGAATAGAAATGTGATCTTTAAAAAGAAACATTGTTATGTAAAAAAAATGGAAAACAAAGCAAAATTTCTAGTGCCATTTTTATAATTTGTAATTATAGTTTGAATTTGCCTGTTTTAAAGTGTATTTAAATATTATCTTAGCTGTGAATCTCTGCTTCTACTTCCATCAGCTACTGGAAGAAGGCTCTATGATGGAGTTTAAGGTAGTCATCAATCTCATTATAAGGGAAGGGCATTTAAGGTAGCCTCTCCACTGTTGCTTAAATTCTTAGTTGGGGTCATCCTTTCAGATTTCTGGAAATTTCCCTAGTGCCAGGTTTTCATCCTCCTGATCCCTCGTTTTTCCTCCACCCTCCCCTTTCTCCTGTCCTATTTCTCCTACCTCCCTCCTGGTCCCCTCCCCCCATGCTCTCAATTTACTCAGGAGATCTTGTCCCTTTCTGCTTCTCTGGGAGCCCATGTATGTCTCTCTTAGGGTCCTCCTTGTTTACCAGGATGTTTTTCTCTTGTCACTGTGTGCATGTGTGTGTGTGGGGGGCATTCCAGGTCCTATCCTCCCCTTCTTACTCCTTGTTTTCTTCCTTTATGAATTTTACCATAGATGACTTTTTACTTAAGAGTAATTCTTGATGATACATAGGTTTTCCCTACTTGGTAAACTTAGCTTTAAACATAATAATCTTTAAAGGATTTCTGGAGATTAGTCAAAAAAAATCTCCTGATAATTACTTTTAAATATTGTCCAGCTAGTTTTGTTCAATATGTTATGAGGTACATAGCTCATAAAGATATAAAATTATTAAAAATAATTCAACCACATAAATGTTGCTTAGAAATTCCAATAATTGTACCAAGAGATTAAACTTAAACAAGCAGCAAAACATTGCACACTTGAGAGAAAATGTATAAATGAGCAAAAGGACTCACCTTTGTCTCTCTTTGGAGCTATTGAGTCTTTGGAATCTTCTAGAGAATAAAAATGAAAAGTAAATCACAGTTTAAATCCTTTTTGTTCTTCAAGAGAAAACATCCTACTAAAGATTTTAATGAGTTACAGGTCAGTTATCTAAAAGCAGCTTCTAGTTCAAGCATTCTGACTTGGGAAATGGGTGGAGAGGAGGCAGCACTGAGCTGCTCCAAAAGTAGAGGGAGACATCACTTCAAAATGTTCTAAGGCAGAAAGTAAACAATTCAGAGAGTAAAAACACAACTTAAATGAGATAAAATATTTGCAAGCCATATAGCTAATGGGAGATTATTATATAAAAACATTAAATAACTTATATGCCTGCAGAGAAAAAAATAGCCCAATTAAAAATACCAATAAAATATGTGCACAATGTAAACAGGACCGTGAAAATGTGGTCAGTCTCATTAATTGTCATGGAAATGAAATAAAACTCATTAGAAGATATCGCATCAGGTCAGAATGACAATTATCAAATAATGTCAAAAAACAAGTATTTAGAATAGAAGAAACTTTTTTGTGTCTTTCTTTTTTTGATAATTTTTTATATAAATTTGAAACAAGATTGTTTTATTTGTCAGTCCCAGTTCCCACACCCTCCCATCCTCCTCTGTTCCCCAACCCCCACTAACCCCCATTCCATCCCCTTTCTGCTCCCCAGGGAAAAGCAGCATGAGAATTTGGATTTTGATGCTCAAAATCAACATAAAAGATCAGGTGTGGTGGTACACATATGTAATCCTGGCCCTGGAGCTTGCTGAGAGCTGGTCCTCCCAAAACAGAGAGCATCAGGATCAGTATAAAATCCTACTTCAAAAACCAAGATGGGAAACTATGGAAGAAAACCCCTCAAATAGACCTGTAGTTTCAACATGTGTGTACACACGAGGACCTACACGTACACATGTACACACAAAAACACTTCACACTCACACACACACACACACAGACAAAGAGAGAGAATTCTCTAAGAAAGCTATTGTAATGTAAAATTCTTACTACATAAGTTAACTTAGCCAATTAATATGCTAATTAGCTTATTCGTTATAATTATCTCTTGATGCATATGTACACTAAACCTTCATATTATATACCTTAAAAAGTACAATTTGTCTTTACCAATTATACCTCAATGAAACTGAAGAAAAAAAGACATTAAACTTTAATTACAACTCAAAGACACAAACAGAAACTTAGTTCTATTTTGAAAATTACTTTGTCTTTTATACATTCTGACTTAGAGGCGCATATGGAATACTTGGAAGCAATTTCAAATCAGAGACAACACTCATACAACATACTGGAGCAATTTTTTGATTTTCATTGCAATCTCTTAGTACTTTCAATTGCTTTATTTACTCAGAGTTTGTGTAACATATTTTAACTAATAAATGGAACAGGGGTAAAATATGCCAGTATTTGAATTTTCTCTAATAGAAAAGAAATGTGGCCTCAAAGGGAAAACATTATTATGCAAAAAAAAAAAATGGAGAACAAAACAAAACTAGCACCATTTTCATAGGTTGTAATTACATTTTGAATTGTCTGGTTTTGAAGTTTATTTAAATATTGGCTTAGCTCATTTATATTCTGAAGAAGTGGCCATAATCTTAATTCTTTATTAATAATTGAAAACGATGCCAGACTATCTAAATGAAAGGAAAAGATCTTCCTTTAGGAATTTGAGCACTTATATGAAATTTCTGCACAAAAGCAAAATGGTACAAGATCCTTCTCCATAAAAACATAAAAAACAGTTTGTAGGTTATAACATACCCAAAACTAAGAAACTTATTTTCAGAAGTGGTTTTTCCTTAGGATGAACTTTATGTTTAAAACATTTAATTTTAGTATTTTAAATTTGTACATATGTGTCCTTGTGAGTACAGTGCCTGTAGTGTAGTGGTCCTCAACCTTCCTAATGCTGCCACTTTTCAATACAGTTGCTTGTATTGTGGGGACCCTCAGCCATAAATTGTTTTGTTGTTACTTCATAACTGTAATTTTACTATTGTTATGAATTGTAATGTAAATATATGAAATGCAGGATGGTCTTTGACAACCCCTGTGAAAGGGTCATTCAACTCACAAAGGGGTTGTACAACCCCCAGGTTGAGAACCGCTGCTCTATAGGATGTCAAATCTCTTGAAGCTGGAGTTACAAGTGTTTTTGAGTTGTGTGTCTGATATGGTGCTGGAAGCTTAGTTCTGTTCTTCTGTACGAGCAGTAACTGCCCTTTAACTGCTAAGCCATTTCTCTAGCCCTCAAAGCTTACTCTTTAACTGGACACTGTTCCAAGAGTGAGAGACCTCGGTACACTCATTCATAAATGAGTTGTCTTCATCAGACCATCAGGGAACTACACGAAAGAGGAGGTGGGAAAATTGTAAGAGCCAAGGGGAATGGGAGACATCAAGGAAACTGAGTTCCAGACACACCAGGATGAACACACCCACATATTCACAGAGAGTGTGGCAGTATATACAGTGCATATACAGGTCTAGACCAGATGGGGTCCCAACTCCGAGATAGAAAACAGCCATGAACCTCCTTATCACTGGGTATAGAGATCACACCTAAAAGAGGACTCATGTCCAGCACTAGATGGTCAACAGAAAAATGAATGTAAATGGTATTTCTGGATTTGTCTTGCAATGCTTCGTTGAGGCAATTTATTTATTTATTTATTTATTTATTTATTTATTTATTTATTTATTTTTACCTTATTTCTTTTGCTTATTTCTTATGGTTTGCAAGTTTGTGTTTTTATGGGTTTTGTGTATGGTGTGTGTGTGTGTGTGTGTGTGTGTGTATTTGTATACATGTTCATGTGTCTTAGTAAGCAATCACATCTTGCAGGTTAAAGGACTACCATGGGTTTCCGTCCAACCTTATCTGGGACAGATTCTCTTGTTGGCTGCTGTGTATGCCAGCCAGGTTACTCGGTATATGAATGGTCTCTGACCTACATCTTACCATAGGAGAGATAGAGTACAGGAGCATGCCATTAAGTCCATCTCTTATGTGGGTGCTGGGGATCCGAACTTAGTTTCTCATGCTTGCCCAACAAGGGCATGAGTTATATGTCACTTGGAAGAGTTAAGTAACTCCAAAGATCTGCTGAGCACACTTGAGAAATGCTACTTCAAATACCAAACCTAATTTCTCTAAAATAGCCAAGGTATTACGAAAAAGAGATCATGAAATACGACATGTCAAAAAGAAAAGGGACTATTTAAAAATAGGTATGATAAATTCTGATCCTTTCTAATTGAATTCACAGAAAAACTCAGACGTGTTTTGCTAATGTCTAGACACTTCCTAATCTAGTCAAATTGTCAATCATGATTATCCAATGCACATTTAAAAATACATAATTTTCCTCTGATATGTTCATACAGCTCAGCATGTTCTTAGCAAACACAATAAATAAGTAAAATCTACCTAAATAATGCATGCATTTGGTACCCTCACAGTTACTATATCTTTTTTTTCTGCTAGAAACCTCTTTGAGTAGCCACAGTTCCAAGAGATATTCATTATTAAACATCTGGGAACCTTAGCCATAAACTCAAAGGAAATTTAGTCTGGAGATTTATATTCATCCACACTCCTCTTGATTCATTAAATTGAACACTTTGCTTTGCATTTCTAGAGATATTCAATATATTCAAATTATTTTTCAACTCAGTTTCTGAATTGTGTATAAACGAGTTAATACAATATTATATTCTATGAGTCTATATTTTCCAAAGAAATCCATTACATCCACCATTGTTCAAAGCAAGTCTTAGCAGATTATTTTTAGCCCTCAAGTAAGAGTGCCTCCTCTTATACATTCTCTCATTCAAAATGGTCATGAGATTGAAAGAAAATTAACTGCTACACTGAACAATAGACACAGCAGTCTTGAACTTGGCTCCAGGGAATAATAAAGTATGCAGAGATAGCTCACATTTGGAATTTTACACACATCACACAGTGATGCCTAGAGTGTTGAATAAACAGATCTAGTCTTTTCAGAGTGTCCACGCTGCCACTCTTAGAGTGAGATGAGTGTCTTGAGGGCAATGTCAGAACAACTTATCATCACCCATAAACAAATGCGGTCATGCTTCTGTGACCCAAAGTCTAATCAGGAAAAGTGGCAAACATCTCACCGAATGCACTTTACATAGAAGTTCTCAGAGTTGGCAAAGAGGAAGAAGTGTTCAGAATGATTCATACTCCGAAGACTTCAGTCAAAAGTGACTGTTCCATTGTCAATGTCGGGAGCAAAGGGAATTCAGTTACACTTGCTTTAAAAGTTGAGATGGTTTTCAAATCTAACCCAAAAGGCACGGATTATACATTCTCCCTAGTAACTCATTTCATAATCTACTTTGATACTGAAGGGTAATCTGCCCTTGAGTGAGGAAGAACCAGGCCTACATGAATGGTCAGTACCATCGTCCTCACACCCATGTGCAGAACTAAATGATCCATGAGCATAGTCCTCACATCCACGCACAAAACTAAATGATCCATAACCATCATTATGCATCAAACACTATTTGCATACATCCCTATTTTGTGTTAGCTGATATTCCCAAATGTTGTAGACTAAATATTATTGCAATTCAAATTTTTAACCAAACTCCAGAAATATTAAGTAAGATTATAGTAGTCCAGGAATATTGAGAATAAATTTTCCAAATTTATACTAAAATTTCTAAATCTGAGGCCCCCAGTATCAGCAGTCACTGTCCCATAAAACAATTACTAAAAATTAGATGTTAATATCTTTATATCAAAAAAAAATCTTGATATTACCATTTTTCAAGATTCCACCCCCACAGTTAACCCCCCTGCAATGATTAAAATTTAGGATTTTATAATCAGGATCTCTATCTTTTTAGTTATATAATTAGCTTATAAAATAGTATGATGTTAAGACAGATGATGCTTCTCCTTTTAACTTAGAAAAGTGCATATTAATACTCAGTTAATATCAGACTT